ATCTGGCTCAGGTCAGGCTCTGGTTGGGCTTTGGTCTGGCTCGGGTCGAGATCTGGACTGGTTTGGGTCAGGCTCTGGTGGGGCTCTGGTGGGGCTCTGCTGGGCTATGGTCGGGCTTTGGTCGGGCTCTGGTCAGTCCATGGTCTGGCTCGGGTCGGGCTCTGGTCAAGCTCAGGTCGGGCTCTGGTCTGGCTCGGGTCGGGCTCTGGTCAGGCTCTGGTCGGGCTCGGTTCGGGCTCTGGTCGGGTTCTGTTTAGGCTCAGGTCGGGCTCTGGTCAACCTCAGGTCAGGCTCTGGTCGGGCTCGGATCGGGCTCTGGTCAGGGTGAGGTTGGCTCTGGTCTGGCTCTGATCTGGCTCAGGTCAGGCTCAGTTTGGATTTTTTACTGCTCTGACTGCTGAATGGCAAATATTCAGCGTCATGAGGAAAACTGCACAGAAGTGTTTTTGAATTTTAAAAACAATGTGTTCCTCTTCACACCCTGCAGCTTAATCTTTTCTTGGCAGCAAAAGATTCATCTCTAAACACCTCCAAGCAAAAAAAATCAAAGTTTCATGATGATGGAGGCAAAACGGTATAAAGTATGAAAGTGTTTTTTTTTTTAAATCACAGAGGCTGGAAGTGCTGAAGAGCTCGGCCTGCAGTCTCACTCCTCCAGAGTTTTCATCTGAGCTTTTAGTTTTTGTCCTTTAAAAACGTGACAAGGTGTTTCTGAAAGGTTTCCCATTTACAGCTGTTCTTCAGGGAGCGCATGGCATATGGTGTGTGTGCGTGAGTGTCTGTGTGGGTGGGTTTGTTTGACGCCTCCTCAGATCAGCTTCAGAGTCCTTATTTGCTGCTTTAATACAAGCACACACCAGTTAACCCTTAGGAGTCTGAATGTAGTACTGTTTCATTCCTCTTCCATGTAAATGTCATTACTGGAGCTGTCAAAGTTACCATATTTAAGTTAAAGTTACCAGCTTTTAAACGTCTTTTAAAGTGAAACCTTTAGCCCCCTCAGCAGGCCACGCTGGACAGACACTTGCAGGAAATCTATGGATAAATCAATCAGTTTATATCACAATACCTACATTTAGAGTCGGTCATTCATTCAGCCTAATGAGAAACTGTAGAACAGACTGAGTTTATATCACAAGGCTGATATATATATTCATTCAGCTCATTAGGCTGAATGAATAACCGACTCTAAATGTAGGTATTGTGATATAAACTGAGTCTGTTCTACAGTTTCTCATTAGGCTGAATGAATAACCGACTCTAAATGTAGGTATTGTGATATAAACTGAGTCTGTTCTACAGTTTCTCATTAGGCTGAATGAATAACCGACTCTAAATGTAGGTATTGTGACATAAACTGAGTCTGTTCTACAGTTTCTCATTAGGCTGAATGAATAACCGACTCTAAATGTAGGTATTGTGACATAAACTGAGTCTGTTCTACAGTTTCTCATTAGGCTGAATGACATTTTTAATGCCTTTCTGTAAAGCTTGTCTGACCACATAACACAGCTATGAAAAATCATAGTTGCTATACATGCATAGAGCAGTCAATACAAAATCACACCATGCCTTTCCTGTTTAGTTATTGTGATGATCTGATTTTTACTTGTTTACATTGTCAGAACGTTTCGGTTTTGGCTTTAAACTCAGCCGGAGGTTCCCACTGATTACTGTATGCGAACTGTAACTGTATGTAACTGTATGTTCTGCTGTGTTTGTGTTCTGTAGGTATCGCTGTCGATAAATACGGCTCGGTTTACTTCGTGGACGGAACCACGATCCGCAAGATTGAGAAGGGCATCATCACCACGGTGATGGGATCAAACGGACTCACCTCCACCCAGCCGATCAGCTGTGACACACACATGGACATCAGCCAGGTGAGTGATGTCATCATATGAGACCGCACAACGTTGACCAGCCCTAACTGTTGTGTGCAAAAGTTTGTGCACCCCCGGTCACATGACACTTTTTGTTGATGTTTCGAGTGAAAACAAGGGAACACGTCTTCTACAAAGAGCGCCCTTAAATGTAGTATTTTGCTGCACATTTTAGTGCACAGTTTCTGTTTATTTGCCGAGTTTAACGTACTGGAAAAACTATGACATAAAACATATAATGCACTGTAACTTTTGCACAGGCCACGTTTTCCCAATGTTAAATTCAGCAAATAAACAGTAACTGTGCCCTGAAACGTGCAGAAGTGTGTTCTCTGTAGAGGACGTGTTAACTTGTTTACACTTCCAGACTTTTGCGTATGACTGTTGGTAATATTTTGAGAAAATGTGCGACCAGTGCAGCCAATTAAGAGGGTGTGGAAGCTGCCAGTGCAATGCCAGCATTTTCTTTAGCAGCTGTAAGACAAGCTAACAGCACCCGTTTCTGCTGTAGAGAAATATCATTAAAACCTTCATTAAGAATGAAGCACCTTGGAGATCCTGGACTCCTAAAACTAACAACATCTCTCAGAGTTGAGGACACGTTTCCCCAAAATATTTCAATTTAAAGACTCCCAAAATGTGATCCAGCAGACCCGAATGTACATAGACACTCTTATCCAGAGCGACTTACAATGTGATCAGATTACACAGGCAGGCGAAGGTAGTGTTAGGAGTCTTATTGGTGTAGTGTGGGATGCTCGCCTATGCAGGGGATTGAATCCCAGTCTACAGCAGAAGGCAGACGTGCTACCCACTACAGCAGGGGTGCCCAGTCCTGGACCTGGAGATCTGCCACCCTGCACAGCTTAATCCCACCTCTAATCAAACTCACCTGATCCAGTTAATGAAGGCCTTCAGGAGCATCTGAATATGAGGGCCAGGCGTGTTGATAGATGGTAGATCTCCAGGACTAGGATTGAGCACCCATGCACTACACTACACCGATCAGGCATAACATTATGACCACCTCCTTGTTTCTACGCTCATCGTCCATTTTATCAGCTCCACTTACTATATAGGTGCACTTTGTAGTTCTACAGTTACAGACTGTAGTCCATCTGTTTCTCTGCATACTTTGTTAGCCCCCTTTTACCCTGTTCTTCAGTGGTCAGGACCCCCATGGACCATCACAGAGCAGGTGGTGGATCATTCTCAGCACTGCAGTAACACTGATGTGGTGGTGGTGTGTTAGTGTGTGTTGTGCTGGTGCGAGTGGATCAGGCACAGCAGTGCTGCTGGAGTTTTTAAACACTGTGTCCACTCACTGTCCACTCTATTAGACACTCCTACCTTGTTGGTCCACCTTGTAGGTTTAAAGTCAGAGACGATAGCTCATCTGCTGCTGCACAGTTTGTGTTGGTCATCCTCTAGTCCTTCATCAGTGGCCACAGGACGCTGCCCACAGGACGCTGTTGGCTGGATATCTTTGGTTGGTGGACTATTCTCAGTCCAGCAGTGACACTGAGGTGTTCAAAAACTCCAGCAGCACTGCTGAGTCTGATCCACTCAGACCAGCGCAACACACACAAACACACCACCACCACGTCAGTGTTACTGCAGTGCTGAGAATGATCCACCACTCAAGTAGTACCTGCTCTGTGAGGGTCCATGGGGGTCCTGACCACTGAAGAACAGGGTAAAAGGGGGCTAACAAAGTATCAGAGAAACAGATGGACTACAGTCTGTAACTGTAGAACTACAAAGTGCACCTATATAGTAAGTGGAGCTGATAAAATGGACAGTGAGCACAGAAACAAGGAGGTCTCAGGTCATAATGCAAAAATGACTGGAAGTTAGTGTAGAGCAGCTAAGTTGACTCTAACCCAGAGAGAAAGTTCCTCTGATTCTCGTCTATGGATTTTTGAGAAAAAGGTAATAAATAATATTCAGTAAAATGTACACATAATGTTTCCTTCACTTTTACTGTTAAAACATTGAGTAATACTGTGGCCTTTAAAGCTGCAGTAGAGTAAACTCCCTGCTGTGTCTGCTGTGTGAGTTACTGAATAAAATGCAGTATTCTCTGTACAGATAAAGTGTCCTGGTGGTTTAGCTGAATTATCAAAACGTAGCTGTAACAATGTTGTTTTAAGTGTGGAAAGGACTTTGGATATTGCATGCAGCCTGGAGTTTCTCCAGCAGGGAGCGCTATTAGCACGCAAGTTGCCACGAATCTGCATCAGAAGAAGCTCTCGAATGCATGTCTTTACAGTACATAATGAGAGATGAAGTGGTTCTCAAAAGATGTTGAGCTACTGAGAATCATTTAATATATGAGTTTTATTAAAGATTTTTTATTCAAACAGTTGGTATTAAAAAAGCATACAGACTAAAATAGAATAGAAATTAGGTCAAAACTGCTGCAGAGTGGGGGGCGACATTATTGATGATCGTAATTTTTTAAAACTAGAAAATATCATGCTAATGTTGTATAGATATTGAGATTAAAGATATTAGATACTAATAAACAGACACACGTTCAGCTCCGTCTCCTCATTATTCACCACCATCACTGTAATATTTCATCATCAACATTAACACACGAAGGTGATCAGAGGGGCGGTGGAGATCGAGTCTGCATCTTTAAAACGCAGAGTTAGAAAAGAAAATCATCTCACAGTGAAAGCAGCGTTTTACAGTAGGAATAAATGGAGCTCATTATGCTGGTAGTGAACTATGCTGCTGACTCAGCTGCCTAAAAACCATAGAAACGGACCTTAAACAGAAGTGAGGACCCTGTTGGGGTTCATCCTAAAGTTAGGACAGGATTTAGGAGGTTTAGTCTCGTTAGGATGTTTGTGTGATGCTGTTTTCTTATCTGGAGTTCATGATGAGATACTGAAGTCGTCATGGCGACAGGTCAGATTTCAGAGTTTAGATGTTTCTGTAATACAACTGGTGGGGAAAATCCTGAACTATAAATGGAGTATATATGTAAACACACACGCACACACACACACACACACACGCACACACACACACTCTCACACACACACACACACGCATACACACACACACACACACACACGCGCACACACACACACACACGCGCATACACACACACACGCACACACACACACACACACACACACACGCACACACACACACGCACACACACACACTCTCACACACACACACACGCATACACACACACACGCGCACACACACACGCACACACACACACACACACACACACACGCACCCTTGCACACATGCACACCACGATTAGAGATACTTGGAGTTGCTCCTACAAAACTTCATAAAATGCTGATTCTTCATCTTTCACTTCATAGCCTGCAGCATCTCCTCTCTCTCTCTCTCTCTCTCTCTCTCTCTCTTCTCTCTCTCTCTCTCTCTGTCTCTCTCTCTCTCTCTCTCTCTCTCGTGCTGTAATGTTGCTGCGTACTGTGATTTCGATATGTTTTGCAATATCTTTTGAAAACAGATGAGTAAATATATTTTTAGACTGAAGTAATTTCCTTTATTATTATTATATGATCAAAAACAAACAGTGACTGTGATTGATCAGTTCACAGGTATCAACACAGTGAAAAGGACTGTGATTGGTTAGATATCAATTATATACTGCAGCACTCAGTAATATCAGCACTACAAACAGCCTTTACACTTTTCATTCTGAATACTAACCAGGTCTCAGGAGACACACACACACACACACACACACACACACACACACACACACATACAAACACACACGTATACACACACACGCATACACACACACACACACACACACACACACACACACACACATACAAACACACACGTATACACACACACACACACACACACATACAAACACACACGTATACACACACATGCATACACACACACACACTTTTCATTCTGAATCCTGTCCAGGTCTCAGGAGACACATGCTCACACAACCACACACACACACACACACACACACACACATTTCACTGTCAAAGTCTCAGGAGACACACAAACACACCCACACTTTTTTATTCTGGACAGTGTCCAAGCCTCAGGAGACACACACACATTTACTCCTGTGTCCAGGACTGTAGTATCCTGCAGTTGCCAGTCAGTGATTTCGCTCTGTGATGAGCAGCAACAGGATCTTCATTTGTAAACTTTAGAAAGTTAAATGTTTTGTTAGTGTTTGGCAAGTTTAACAAAAGAGAGTCAAGAGAGTCTGATACTTTTAATATGAGAGTCAAGAGAGTCTGATACTTTTACTATGAGAGTCAAGAGAGTCTGACACTTTTGATACGAGAGTCAAGAGAGTCTGATACTTTTACTATGAGAGTCAAGAGAGTCTGATACTTTTAATATGAGAGTCAAGAGAGTCTGATACTTTTACTATGAGAGTCAAGAGAGTCTGATACTTTTAATATGAGAGTCAAGAGAGTCTGATACTTTTACTATGAGAGTCAAGAGAGTCTGATACTTTTGATACGAGAGTCAAGAGAGTCTGATACTTTTGATACGAGAGTCAAGAGAGTCTGATACTTTTGATACGAGAGTCAAGAGAGTCTGATACTTTTAATATGAGAGTCAAGAGAGTCTGACACTTACTACGAGAGTCAAGAGAGTCTGATACTTTTACTATGAGAGTCAAGAGAGTCTGATACTTTTACTACGAGAGTCAAGAGAGTCTGATACTTTTACTATGAGTCAAGAGAGTCTGATACTTTTACTACGAGAGTCAAGAGAGTCTGATACTTTTACTATGAGAGTCAAGAGAGTCTGATACTTTTAATACGAGAGTCAAGAGAGTCTGATACTTTTACTACGAGAGTCAAGAGAGTCTGATACTTTTACACGATCAGAGTCGAACTTTTACGAGTCAGAGAGTCTGACACTTTTACTATGAGAGTCAAGAGAGTCTGATACTTTTAATACAGGAGTCAAGAGAGTCTGATACTTTTGATACGAGAGTCAAGAGAGTCTGATACTTTTGATCCGAGAGTCGAGAGAGTCTGATACTTTTAATACAGGAGTCAAGAGAGTCTGATACTTTTGATACGAGAGTCAAGAGAGTCTGATACTTTTAATACGAGAGTCAAGAGAGTCTGACACTTTTGATACGAGAGTCAAGAGAGTCTGACACTTTTGATATGAGAGTCAAGAGAGTCTGACACTTTTGATATGAGAGTCAAGAGAGTCTGATACTTTTAATACGAGAGTCAAGAGAGTCTGATACTTTTAATACAGAGTCAAGAGAGTCTGATACTTTTGATACGAGAGTCAAGAGAGTCTGATACTTTTAATACGAGAGTCAAGAGAGTCTGATACTTTTAATACAGGAGTCAAGAGAGTCTGATACTTTTAATACGAGAGTCAAGAGAGTCTGACACTTTTATTACGAGAGTCAAGAGAGTCTGACACTTTTAATACGAGAGTCAAGAGAGTCTGACACTTTTAATACGAGAGTCAAGAGAGTCTGATACTTTTACTATGAGAGTCAAGAGAGTCTGATACTTTTACTACGAGAGTCAAGAGAGTCTGATACTTTTAATACGAGAGTCAAGAGAGTGATACTTTTGATGCAAGAGTCGAGAGAGTCTGATACTTTTAATACATAAGTCAAGAGAGTCTGATACTTTTACTACGAGAGTCAAGAGAGTCTGATACTTTTAATACGAGAGTCAAGAGAGTGATACTTTTGATGCAAGAGTCAAGAGAGTCTGATACTTTTAATACGAGAGTCAAGAGAGTCTGATACTTTTAATACTAGAGTTAATGAGAGTGTGGTACTTTTAATACGAGAGTCAAGAGAGTCTGATATGTTTGATATGAGAGTCGAGAGAGTCTGATACGTTTGATACGAGAGTCTAGAGAGCCTGATACGTTTAATCAGTCGAGAGTCTGATATGTTTGATAGGAGACTCAAGAGAGTCTGATATGTTTGATACGAGAGTCGAGAGAGTCTGATATGTTTCATACTAGAGTTTGTTACGAGAATCAAGAGTCTGTTATTTTGATACGAGTCTCAGGAGAGTCTGATCTCTTTGATCCAAGAGTCGAGAGAGTCTATGTTTTATACAAGAGTCTAGAGAACCTGATACGTTTGATCAGAGAGTCAACAGTCTGGCACGTTTGAGGCGAGAGTCAAGAGAGTCTGATAGGTTTAATACGAGAGTCGAGAGAGTCTGATAGGTTTGATATGAGAGCCTACATGCAGCTGATGTAGTGATCTACATCGTTCATTACAGATTACAGTGCATTAGTAGGAGATTGTAGTGCCTTTAAAGTCACTCTGGAATTCAGTTTTACAGTTTGGACACAGAGAAAATGGCCAAAACACCTAATTCTGCCCTAAAATGTAAATAGGGATCCATTTTGTTCAGTCAGTGTCTGAAGAGGAGCTGCATTTTTAAAATTACTCTCTCTCTCTCTCTCTCTCTCTCTCTCTCCTCTCTCTCTCTCTCGCGCTCTCTCGCTCTCTCTCTCTCTTGTTTAGGCTGAGAGTGTCATTTTAGGTGTCATATTTTGGCAGAATGAAATTGCCTCTTGAAAGTGAATCTGTGCATTAATATTCGTTTTTCATGCACACACTCTGAGTAGTTGGCACTCTTTGAAGATGTTCATGCTGAAGAAGCCTTTTCACTGAACTTGAAGTAATAAAAATGTTTTCAGGTTTTGAAATGACACCAGCAGTGTATGTGTGTCCCTTCAGGTGCGTCTCGAATGGCCCACTGACCTGGCTATAAGTCCACTGGATAACTCCCTGTATGTGCTGGACAATAACCTGGTGCTGCAGGTCAGCGATGTTGGCCTGGTCCGTGTTGTTGCCGGGAGACCGATCCACTGCCCACTTCCTGTCACTGAGCCGCCAGCCACGGGCCCGGCGTCCACACAGTCAGCACTGGAGGGAGCCAAGGCCATCGCCGTCAGCCACCAGGGGGTGCTGTACATTGCTCAGACTGACGACAGAAAGCTCAGCCGCATCCTGGAGGTCAACACCAATGGGGAAATGTCCGTCATCGCTGGGACAGTTAGCGAGTGTGACTGTAAAATTGATCCAGACTGTGACTGTTTCTCTGGTGAGTTTACACTTGTAGTGCTAATGTAGGGAGTGATCTGTAGGTAAAGCATGGCTAGTTTAACATCTGTAGTGTTTATAACACTGTGTGGTAGTAAGCTCAACATCTGGAAGGTATTTGTAGTACATTTAAATTTATGTCAGTGCAGCTGGTTTAAAGGGTTTTAGTGAAAAGGGCAGCTTTAGTACATTTTACACAAATGTTATGATTTTTAACCTTTTGGGGCAAATGAGTTTTATGTCTGGACAAATGCAGTGAGTTTTACACATTAAGAGAACATGAAGTAAGTCTTACACCTCTGGGGGCGAACGTAGTGAGTTTTACACCTGTAGGGCAAATATAGTGAATTTTACACCTGTGGGGCAAATAAAGTGAATTTTACACATGTAGGGTGAACATAGTGAGTTTTACACCTGTAGGCTGAATGTAGTGAATTTTACACCTGTAGGGTGAATGTAGTGAATTTTACACCTGTAGGGGGAACATAGTGAGTTTTACACCTGTAGGCTGAATGTAGTGAATTTTACACCTGTAGGTGAATTATAGTGAATTTTACACCTGTAGGGTGAACATAGTGAGTTTTACACCTGTAGGGGGAACATAGTGAGTTTTACACCTGTAGGGTGAACATAGTGAGTTTTACACCTGTAGGGGGAACATAGTGAGTTTTACACCTGTAGGCTGAATGTAGTGAATTTTACACCTGTAGGGTGAATTATAGTGAATTTTACACCTGTAGGGTGAACATAGTGAGTTTTACACCTGTAGGGCGAATGTAATGAGTTTTACACCTGTAGGGTGAATGTAATGAATTTTACACCTGTAGGGTGAACATAGTGAGTTTTACACCTGTAGGGCAAATGTAATGAATTTTACACCTGTAGGGCAAATGTAATGAATTTTACACCTGTAGGGGGAACATAGTGAGTTTTACACCTGTAGGGCAAATGTAATGAATTTTACACCTGTAGGGCAAATGTAATGAATTTTACACCTGTAGGGGGAACATAGTGAGTTTTACACCTGTAGGGCAAATGTAATGAATTTTACACCTGTAGGGCGAATGTAGTGAATTTTACACCTGTAGGGCGAATGTAGTGAATTTTACATTCTCTTTTTCATTCTCTCTCCCTCTCTCTCCCTCTCTCTCCCTCTCTCTCTCTCTCTCTCCTCTCTCTCTCTCTCCCTCTCCCTCTCTCTCTCTTTCTCTCTCTCTCTGCAGGTGATGGAGGCTACGCTCGGGACGCTAAGCTAAAATCCCCCTCTGCTCTGGCTGTGTCTCCGAATGGGACACTCTACATCGCTGATTTGGGTAACGTCCGTGTGCGCTCCTTGGTTGCCAGGCAACCGCGGCTGACCTCTGACCTCCTGTATGAGGTCATGTCCGTGGCGCAGCAGGAAGTTTACCTGTTCGCCCCGAATGGCACTCACCTGTACACACGCTGCCTCGTCACCGGGGACTACCTGTACAACTTCAGCTACGTGGGAGCGGGGCTGGTCGCCGCAGTGACGGCCAGCGAGGGGGGCGCGGTCCAGGTGAGGCGGGACTCTAACGGATCACCGCTGTGGCTGGTCACACCTGGCGGACAGGTGTACTGGCTGACCCTGAGCACCGCGGGGACGCTGAGGAGAGTCTCCGCCCTCGCGCACGACCTCGCCCAGATCAGTTACTACGGAAACACCGGCCTGCTGGCGACCATGAGCAACGAAAACGCCTGGACCACCGTCTACGAGTGAGAGACCCCTTCTGTTCATGCTTGTTCTTTTATATTATGATCTTTTTAATGTTTACATTTCCTTTTTTCTTGCTTTTTTGTTCTAATATTAATCATTTTTATCGCTCAGCACTGATTTCTTTGTTTCTTTATTATGGTGTTTTATTTTGTTTGTATTTTTTCTGACTGGATCACTTTACATATTAAGAGTTATGTATATTGTTTTGTTGAGGTTTTTTGTTTTTATTTCTTTCTTCGACATTATTTTCACCATTATTACTAGGAATTACATTTTTTATTTGCTTTTATTGTTTGTTTTTGTTTCACTCCTCCACATTATTGTCTCTGTCAGTCTTTAAAAACGCTTTTATTGTTGTTTTTTTGTTTTGTTTTTTGCTGTTTTCCGTGTTTTTTTACTGTTAGCAGTAAAAATCATGAGTCTGATGCTGATTCTGATTCTCTGTTGTTCTCTCTTTCATTCTCTGTCCTCTTGTCCTTTATCTCCACTCTCTCTCTCTCTCTCTCTCTCTCTCTCTCTCTCTCTCTCCCTCTCTCTCTCTTGCTTTCACTCTCTCTCTCTCTCTCTCTCTCTCTCTCTCTCCACAATGTTGCCAAAGCACATAAACATTAAAGTTGAACAAACTCTTCAGAACTAATAGCAGCTGTTAATTATAGTGGTAATGATAATAATCAGAGTGAAATAAAAAGAAATAAATAACCAAATTTAATAAAATAAGACATCATGTATTAAATAATTTAAAAAGCTAATGGACAGTATATATCTAACCTATATACAGTGAGATGATCGGTAAGGGTCAGTGGGGTCACACTCCTGCGGTGCATTATGGAGCGTTTATAGCGAAAGCTCATCACTTCAGATAGACGTGCAGTAAATGATCTGTAAGACCACAGTGCCATCTAGTGGTGGAGAGCAGAACATGCCTGATAAAATCACTGAAAGTTCGGCCTCTCAATGAAGAGAACACCCCCACAGGACCCTCAAAGAGCAGGTACTGTTTGGGTGGTGGGTCATTCTCAGCACTGCAATGACACTGATGTGGTGGTGGTGTGTTAGTGTGTGTTGCGCTGGTCTGAGTGGATCAGACACAGCAGTGCTGCTGGAGTTTTTAAACACTGTGTCCACTCACTGTCCACTCTATTAGACACTCCTACCTTGTTGGTCCACCTTGTAGATGTAAAGTCAGAGACGATAGCTCATCTGCTGCTGCACAGTTTGTGTTGGTCATCCTCTAGTCCTTCACCAGTGGTCACAGGACACTGCCCACAGGACGCTGTTGGCTGGGTGTTTTTGGCTCTCAGTCCAGCAGCGACACTGAGGTGATTAAAAACTCCACATTTGTGTTTTTTCCATCCAGGTATAACTCTGACGGTCACCTGATCAATGTGACCTTGCCGACGGGAGAGGTCAGCAGTTTCCATGGTGACATGGGCAAGTCTGTCAGGGTGGAGGCGTCAACTTCAAACCGAGAAAACTTCATTACCATCACCAACCACTCAGAGGACAACACCGTTTACACACTCAGACAAGGTGTGTGTGTGGGGTGGGGGGGGTGTGTGTTAAATATTTGTAAATAAATACTTAACAGGACAGAGACGAGTGTTGTAGTATTGATACTCTGTGAAAATGCAGTTATGATTTGATATCTTGTTTATGTGAATTACATGTGAAATGCAGACGTACCTGGTTAATGTAAAGTACAATGCAGATCACAGTCAGTACTATTTAGTTACATCTGTAACCTTTATTATTATTATTATTATTATTATTTATTATTAAAATTAATACAATGAAAAAGTATAATAACAAATATAAATAAATGCATTTTAAAAATATATTTAAAAAGTCTTAATGACTTACATGCTTTTATTAAATAGGGTTTTGCTGGATGGTAGCCGTGGTACCCCAGGTGGTTGCTAGGGTGTTGCTTTGGTACCCCAGGTGGTTGCTAGAGTGTTGCTTTTGTACCCCAGGTGCTTGCTAGGGTATTGCAGTGGTAGCCCAGGTGGTTGCTAGGGTGTTGCTTTGGTACCCCAGGTGGTTGCTAGAATGTTGCTTTGTTACCCCAGGTGCTCGCTAGAGTATTGTTGTGGTAGCCCAGGTGGTTGCTAGGGTGTTGCTTTGGTACCCCAGGTGGTTGCTAGAATGTTGCTTTGTTACCCCAGGTGCTCGCTAGGGTGTTGCTGTGGTAGCCCAGGAGGTCGCTAGCATGTTGTTTTTTTTCCATAACTTACTGACTTACATGTTTTTGTTAAATAATATCAATGAAAGAAAACAAAATAACAAACAACAGAGTGATTTCCTTTTTTTCGGTGCAGGTGGTTGCTGTAGTGTTGCTAGATGGTAGCTGTGATACCCCAGGTAGCCATGGTAACCCAGGCTATTGTTGTGGTATCCCAGATGGTTGCTAGGTTTTGCTGTGGTACCCCAGGTGGTTGCTAGGGTGTTGCTAGATGGTAGCTGTGGTACCCCAGGTGGTTGCTAGGGTATTGCTGTGGTACCCAAGGTGGTTGCTAGGGTGTTGTTTTGTGCGATCACTAATTAGAACAATAGAAAATACTGAAAATAAGAAACAATGTAACTTGAGCTCTACCCCCCTACCCCTCGCTCTCTTTGTAGCTCACTCTGTCAGTGTGTATCGTGTCAGCGGTGATGGATCTCTGTGGGTGACCTATGCCAGTGGGATGGACGTCACTTTGAGCACTGAGCCTCATCTGTTGCCAGGGCTGTTGCCAGGTGTGTCACCAGGGGCAGTCCATCCTACCATGGGCAGATGCAACATCACGTTGCCGGGGGAACAGAGCCACAGCATCATCGAGTGGAAACAGAGGCGAGAACAGGCCAGAAACTACAGCACATACGAGCGCAGACTGAGGGTAAGACGCACTTTACACTGCAGGATGATGACTGACACGATCACAACCGTCTCTATAAACGCTTCTTACTCCGGTACGCGAAGGAAAGCCTTCTCAGAGCAAACCTACAGTGACCTCAGCATGCCTGTAATGTTAGTATTAGTGTTAGCTTTAGCATTGGCTTATCGGAAGGGGCAGCGTTTTAGCTCACACCTCTGTCTTAGATATGAAAACCTACAGCTCTGATTCCCAGCAGTCGTCCTTGCTTATTCCACCTGTACACGATCTCAGGTACTTGTGTGTGTGACACCATATGACATACTATTATCTATTAAACTGGACAATGGTGCAGATAAAATTCATGCTACTGCTACAGCTTAGCATAGTTTATAGCTATGCCTTGTTCTTTTGTCCATTTAGTCCATTTAGTTGTTGTCCAGTTTGCGTGATCCAAATTGGTCGGTATAAGCATCCATTACTTGTTAGCCACATTAGCATGCTAGCTCCAGCGCAGAAACACAATAGCAGACATGTCTTGGTTGATCGACGAAGGAAGGACACTAGATGTGTCCTAATTCAGGGCCTGCATCCTTCGAAGGACGCAGTCTATGAAGACGTGTCCTTTGAAGACTGCGTAGACCCGCGAGACGGTCTGCTCTACTCTCTGTGTGCTTTCCTTTCTTTGCCGAGTTGAACAGCTGGCCATCCTGCACGTCTGATGCTGTTGACTCTTCTGCCTTGATCGGGTGCCACTGCTCGCCAGCCTTCTGGACCGGCTTGACCACCATTGAGCTTCATGCTGTACAACGCTGTGTAATCCTCACCCTCATGAACTGACGATGCTTCTGCTGCTGCTGCCGCTGCATAATCTAAAACTAATCTAATTAACCATTTGTTCCGCCTGTTTTTCCCACTCTGTACTGTAATACTTTATACTAACAATGTTTACTATCCGGTGTCGACCAGAGGAGGATGGGTTCCCCTTCTGAGTCTTGTTTCCTCTCAAGGTTTCTTCCTCCTGCTGTTAGGGAGTTTTTCCTTGCCATTGTCCCCACTGGTGACGCTCATGGGGTCTTGGACCTGGAATTTTCTTTTTCTGTAATGCTGATTTTCTTTTCTTTTTCTGTAATGTTGATTTTTCTGTAAAGCTGCTTTGTGACAACGCCTGTTGTAAAAAGCGCTATATAAATAAACTTTGCTTGCCTACTTGCTCTACGGCACATTTCTCGGCCAGATATGAAGGAGCCTTCCAAATGGGACAGCCTAGTCGCACCGCTGTGCTGGAATTGGTCTTCAAATGCAGCCTCTGAAGGATGCGGCCTCTGAATCAGGACACAGCTAATGTGTTAATGTGTTGATTTTTTGCCAAACTGTCAGATTCCACAGCAACACAAGCCCTGCAGTAACTGCAATGTCTTAATATCTGCATTTCATCTCTCTTTCTGTCTCTCAGGCCCACAACAGGAACGTTCTCTCTATAGACTATAACCAGGCATCCCGTGTGGGGAAGATTTACGATGACCACCGTAAGTTTACCCTGCGCCTGCAGTATGATGACCGTGGCCGGCCGGTGCTTTGGGCACCGAGTAAGTTCAGTGATGTTCGGGTCAGTTACACCAGCGATGGCCTGCTGGCTTCCATCCAGAGAGGAAACTGGAGTGAACGCAGAGATTACGACAACGGCAGGCTAATCACCCAAACATGGGCTAACGGCAAAACCTGGAGCTACAGCTTTCAGGAGAAGGTACGGAGAGTGTGTGTGGACATAAAATATGTGTCCAGATTCAATGAGGCCCCCAGACAGGTTGCTGTGAGACCCCCATCAAAATGGAAAGAAAAACATAGCCCAAATGAATTTGTCAAGTATATTTTTGCAATGTATGAAAATGGCATGAAAGTGTGTATTGTCCAGCCAAAGCACTACTTACTTTCTTTTCTCCTAAAAAAATGGACAGATAAATGGGGATATATAGTCAGTCTGCACTTAATGAATTTGAAACTCCATCACTCTTTCTCTTTATCTCTCTCTTTCAGTCAATCCAGCTGTTGCTGCACAGTCAGAGGCGCTACACATTTGAATATGACCAGACGGATTACCTCATGTCCATCACGCTGCCCAGCATGGTCAAACACGGCCTGCAGACCGCGCTGTCCATCGGTTACTACCGTAACACCTACACGCCACCGGACGCCCCAGGCCACGCGCTGGTGCAGGATTACTCCCCTGATGGACGGCTGCTGCAAACACTGTACTTGGGCTCTGGTAGACGGGTGATCTACAAGTACAGCAGGACGTCCAGGCTCAGTGAGATCCTCTTCGACTCCACACTTGTCAGCTTCACTTATGACGAGTCGTCTGGTGCTGTCAAGACCGTCCACCTCATGCAAGAGGGGTTTGTGTGTACAATACGCTATAGGCAGACCGGTGAGCACACGTTCTCTTCACAGATCAATGTTAGAGATGGACAGTGGCATTTTTCTTGTATTTATTTTTTTCCACAAGGTCTGCAGCCAAGGCAGAGCTGAGATCTGTTACAGAATCCCCAAGACCACAAACATTTAATCTTTTTTATTATTTCTTTCTCAGGTCCTTTGGTGGGCAGGCAGATCTACCGTTTCAGCGAGGAGGGTTTAGTCAACGCCCGCTTTGACTACAGCTACAACAACTTCCGGGTCACCAGCATGCAAGCCATGATTAATGAGACGCCGCTCCCCATCGACCTTTACCGGTATGTGGATGTGTCGGGCCGGATCGAACAGTTCGGCAAGTTCAGCGTCATCAGCTACGACCTCAATCAGGTCATCACCACACATGCCATGAAGCACAGCAAAATCTTCAACCCCAACGGTCAGGTGGTGGAGGTGCAGTACGAGATCCTCAAGTCCATCGCCTTCTGGATGACGCTGCAGTACGACAGCTTGGGCCGTGTCGCAAACTGCGACATCCGCATCGGTGTGGATGGGAACATCACACGCCGCTCGTACGAGTACGACGCAGACGGTCAGCTCCAGTCGGTTGCCGTTGATGATCGACCACAGTGGCGCTACAGCTATGACCTCAATGGCAACATCAATCTGCTAAGTCATGGCAACAGCGCAAGGCTCACACCACTACGCTACGACTTACGAGACCGAATTACGCGGCTGGGTGAGATCCAGTACCGGACAGATGACGACGGATTCCTGCGCGTCCGTGGCAACCTAGTCTTCGAATACACTTCCAATGGACTTCTGACAGGAGCGTTGGACCGAGACACTGGGAAACGGGTCTGGTATCGCTACGACGGCCTGGGAAGGCGCGTTTCTAGTCGAATTAGCGATGGCACACTTCTGCAGTTTTTCTATGCTGACTTGACCGAACCCACCAGAGTCACTCATTTGTACAACCACACAGCATCTGAAATCACCTCCCTCTACTACGACCTGCAGGGTCACCTGATTGCCATGGAGATGAGCAGCGGTCAGGAGTTTTATATAGCCTGTGACGCGGCAGGAACCCCACTAGCCATCTTCAGCAGCCGAGGCCAGGTAGTTAAGGAGCTTCGCTACACACCCTACGGAGACGTCTATAGGGACTCGAACCCATCCTTCCTGCTTCCGTTTGGCTTCCAGGGTGGACTCTATGACCCCCTGACCCGGCTGGTGCACCTCGGTCGCCGAGACTATGATGTGGTTGCCGGGAGGTGGACCACGCCCAATCATGACCTGTGGGCAGAGGTGAGCGCGGACCCCAAGCCGTTCAACCTGTATGCCTTCAGGAACAACTACCCTCTCGGTGGCCTGCAAGACGTCACTAAGTTTACAACAGGTGAGAAATGAGCGAGCTCGTCCCTTCACGCTTCCCCTGAGTGAGCCTGATGCTTTTAGGATGTCAGGAGTGGCAAAATGAATAGCCTAGCTATGTAGATCCCCATAACAGCAGACTAAAGGGCGTTACACATCGAATGCAACACAAAAAATGACACAAATATGTGAAATATTATGACGCCATTTTTCCACATCAAAACTATGCCCAGAGAACTTGAAGAGAGGATAATTACATAGTTTCTAAATGCTTTTTTAACATGAAAGAATACATTAATTTTCTGAACACAGCACATCATAAAACATTTTAACAGTGCTGTTATATTTTTAAGAGCTTTTAGACTCGAGTTATAGAAATGTAAAATGGTGCCTTATGTACGTCCATGATGTCAGTGAGCACGAACAGCCAATGAGCTGCTCCGCTCACCAACCAATCAGCACTCAGTAGCAGTAATGATAGCTTCCTGCTGCCCAAAACCCATTTGCTGTAGAAAAAGGAAACATACAGGTGAGTTTTCTTTGCTTTTTTAGTGAAATGCATCCTTCTACTTTCTAAAATTAAAGGAAAGTTCTGATTAGAACTGATTAGTGATTAGAAACTATATTAACTTTTCATTTTTAGCCGTTTAGCTTCCTTCACCCCCATTCATTAAGGACTCGCTCGCTCACTCACAGCAGAGGGCGCTCTCTGCTGTTTTCCAGGTATGTTTTTGATATAACGGGGGAAACAGGAAGAGGCCAGATTCCTCATAAACCGGTGGACTGTGACAGTGTGCAGGACGCTTTCACTTTGGAAAAGCGAAAGGAGAACAGAGAGTATCTCCACCTCATCTCAGGAGCTAGAACTTTGTGTTCTTTCACTCACAACTGAGTTTGAACTGATTTGCAGCTCCACACTAAATCAAACAGACTGAATGTCTAAGTGCAAATAAGATCTGATTCATTCCTCTCAGAAGAACAAACAGTGACACTAAAGCGTGAGGAGAAATGTTGAGTTCTTCCACATTTAACTTGATGTTTGTGGTCCAGTTTGAGCTGCTTTTGGAGAAAAGTAAACCTTTTAGCGTTTGTGAAAACGTTTGCTAGAACGCAACTGGTTCATCATCTTGGTTGTCACCATGCCAACACTAGAGATGACCGTAATCAGTCGGTAAGTTTTTGTCACTGGAGAAAGTTTGCAAAAATCAAACAGGGTTCGAAAAAATAAATACACATTTTCACATTTGGTGTGGAAGCTGTCATCAGTTATATACATGCTAAGGTTGATTTATTGTCATCCAAATAAATCACACACACAAGTTGCATTCAGTGTTGGAGGCCAGCATATAAGCAGTATTGTTTGTTAAGCTTACATATGTTTGTTGTCATAGATCAAGCAATCATCTTTTGTTTTATATTCTTATGATTTGATTTTTTGTGTCGATTGAAAGCAACATCTTTACGTTAGCTTTGGTACATTTTGATGACTGTCTCCTGGAACTGAAGGGGGACACTTCATTAAAAATGAACTGTATAAAATTTATGACGTCTGTCAAACGTCTCATTCTTGTTAAAGCAGGCAGTTGTTGGCCACATTGAGTGTTTTACAATCAATTGATCGTCTGATCATAATCAGGTTTCTGCAGTTATCTGATTACTAAGTTGTCATGTAAACGGCACATTCTGATTTCCTAAATCGGAATAAGGTCTAGTCAAATCTAATCAAGAAATCTGATAAAGAGACTGGCCATTGTTATGGTATCCCAGGTGGTTGCTAAGGCGTTTCTTGGCCATTGTTATGTTGTCCTAGGTGGTTGCTAAGATGCTGCTAGGCCATTGCTAATATAACCCAGGTAGTTGCTAAAATGTGCGTATATACATGTGTTAGTATGTAGGTGAGCCCTGTAAATAATGTCTATGAGAGTCAGTGTGAGAGATGCATCAGTTATGGCTGTTAGATTTGAAGTTGTGGGGAAAAAAAAAATGAATGAACACTGTACAAAACCTGTATGTGTAATTGGTTCCAAGAGCACAAACGTTCTATTCCTGTGCAAAGTTTCATGGTTCTAGCCACAACCCATATAAACAGTACGAAAAAATGTAGAATAATAAAACAAAGAACAAGCCAACTTAATTACACTTTCAGCAGAATTCGTTCTTGGATGGAAATTTCTGTTCTGGCTGAAGTGTCTTCTTACCTTCTTACCAGGCACAGTGGTCATCACAGACCATTTCATGATGGCATATCCCAGTGGTCTCCAACCTGGGTCCTGGAGAGCCACCATACTGCAGTGTTTAGCTCCAACCTGTGTCCAGTAAGCTGCCCCACCCCTTACTTAACTCTAATACAGCCAGTGTGGAGCTGGGAAGTGGTTGATTAGCTGGATCAGACTGTGCATAGAACTAGGAAGGTAGTTCTCCAGGACCAGGATTGGAGACCACTGGCATATCCATTATTGACATGTTGAATACTGATACTGTGTTTGAAATTAATTTGTGTAAATAAGCAACAAATAGAACCAACAGAACTGGAAGAACAGAATGCACATTTGAAAGGTGAGGAGGGCACATTCAGTGGTTCCTATGCCCGCGCTTGTTTCACAAGTGTGAGACGGATGCATCTGTTTTGGCTTCCTTCTGATAATATAGGGGAATAAGAGTGAAATGGCTGGAAATGGGCCAAAGGCTGAAAATGTTTATTAAAAACAGTAAAATGAAACATGTTGCTGGCATTTAGGACATTTCCGTTTGTTCGGGGACGTGTTTTGGTTCTTGGGAAGATAAAAGAAGTGAAACGAGGGAAGTAGCCCTTCAAGAAACTGACAAAGTAGAACTGAGACACGAAGACAGTTTTGGGGCTGAACTCACATCGATTATAAGCTCTGCATAGAAACTCACTTCACTTAGAGGGTTTTACTCACATGGTTTGTGGGTAACGATTTTCTCCATTGACCATGATTTAGCACCGGTGATTTCCCTTCTTGCACTTTTGCTTTCCAGCCAGATACAAATGTTTATATTTCTAACATTTAATGAGCTTTAAATCTGCAGGTCCAATTTGAGTGTTGATTGACCATTTGCACTGCAGTTTAGTCAGTGAATAGGCTTAATGTCTCAAAGAAACTAGCCGACAATGTTTACAAATCTATAATTCTTATAAGCACATATGTTAAATAAAACTTTTGTTTGTATGCATTCCTGCATGTGTAGTGTCTCTATAGATATTTATCTAATGTTTGTCTACAAAGATAGACCCACGGCTCAGGTTTGTAATATGTACTAGACATGAATATGTAAAATATTGCAGAATCTTTTATAAACACTGCACTCAAGGCTGTCTGTCTCTGTGCAGATATCAGCAGTTGGCTGCAGCTGTTTGGATTCCAGCTTCACAACGTGGTGCCAGGGTTCCCCAAGCTGCCAGTGGAGAACACAGAGCAAACATATGAGATGATGAACGTTCAGAGCCGCACACATAGCTGGGACCCCAGCAAGGTGAGCCAGCATACACACAAACAGCGAGCTTGACAGAGACTCGACACTCGCACCTCAGAGACTCGACACTCGCACCTCAGAGACTCGACACTCGCACCTCAGAGACTCGACACTCGCACCTCAGAGACTCGACAGTCGCACCAGAGACTCGACACTCGCACCTCAGAGACTCGACAGTCGCACCAGAGACTCGACACTCGCACCTCAGAGACTCGACAGTCGCACCAGAGACTTGACACTCGCACCAGAGACTCGACACTCGCACCTCAGAGACTCGACACTCGCACATCAGAGACTCGACACTCGCACCTCAGAGACTCGACACTCGCACCTCAGAGACTCGACAGTCGCACCAGAGACTTGACACTCGCACCTCAGAGACTCGACAGTCGCACCAGAGACTCGACACTCGCACCTCAGAGACTCGACACTCGCACCTCAGAGACTCGACAGTCGCACCTCAGAGACTCGACAGTCGCACCTCAGAGACTCGACAGTCGCACCAGAGACTCGACACTCGCACCTCAGAGACTCAACACTCGCACCTCAGAGACTCGACACTCGCACCTCAGAGACTCGACAGTCGCACCTCAGAGACTCGACAGTCGCACCAGAGACTCGACACTCGCACCTCAGAGACTCGACACTCGCACCTCAGAGACTCGACACTCGCACCGCAGAGACTCGACACTCGCACCTCAGAGACTCGACACTCGCACCTCAGAGACTCGACAGTCGCACCGCAGAGACTCGACACTCACACCTCAGAGACTTGACACTCAACTCAGACTTGCACCTCAGAGACTCGACACACACCTGGGAGACTCGACACACACCTCAGAGACTCGACACACACCTGAGAGACTCGACACACACCTCAGAGACTCAACACACACCTCAGAGACTCAACACACCACCTCAGAGACTCGACACTCGTGCCGCAGAGACTCGACACTCAACTCAGACTCGCACCTCAGAGACTCGACACACACCTGAGAGACTCGACACACACCTCAGAGACTCGACACACACCTCAGAGGCTCGACACTCGCACCTCAGAGGCTCGACACTCGCACCACAGAGGCTCGACACTCGCACCACAGAGGCTCGACACTCGCACCCCAGAGACTTGACACTCGCACCTCAGAGACTCAACACTCGCAACCCAGAGACTCAACGCTCAACTCAGACTCACACCTCAGAGGCTCGACACTCGCAACCCAGAGACTCAACGCTCAACTCAGACTCACACCTCAGAGACTCGACATTCACACCTCAGAGACTCGACACTCGCACCTCTAGAAACTTGAGACTCAGACTCGCACCCCAGAGATTGGAGACTCAACTTAGACTCGCACTCCAGAAACTTGAGACTCAACTCAGTCTTGCCCCCTAGAAACTCAAGAATCAGACTCGACACTTGCACCTCAGAGACTCAACACTCGCACCTCAGAGACTCAACACTCGCACCCCAGAGACTCGACAGTCGCACCTTACAGACTTGACACTCGCACCTCAGAGACTCAACACTCGCACCCCAGAGACTCAACACTCGCACCTCACAGACTCTACACTCGCACCCCAGAGACTTGACACTCACACCTCAGAGACTCGACACTCGCAACCCAGAGACTCGACACTCGTACCAAAGAGACTCTACCCTCGCACCTCAGAGACTCGACACTCGCAACCCAGAGACTCAACGCTCAACTCAGACTCGCACCTCAGAGACTCGACATTCACACCTCAGAGACTTGACACTCACACTCCAGAGACTCGACACTCACACCCCAGAGACTCGACACTCACACCCCAGAGACTCGACACTCGCAACCCAGAGACTCGACACTCACACCCCAGAGTCTCAACACTCAAGTCAGACTCAGTCCCAGAAACTCGACACTCACACCCCAGAGACTCAACACTCAAGTCAGACTCACTCCAGAGACTCGACACTCGCACCTCAGAGACTCGACACTCGCACCTCTAGAAACTTGAGACTCAGACTTGCATTCCAGAGACTGAATGCTCAACTCAGGCTTGTCTCATCTTACGACAGTAGCTATATGCATAGGTCAGTTTATTTGAATTCACCTTTAACCCTCTGGGTTCTGAGGTTGTTTCTTATGATTTTTTCTTATATTCTTAAATGCACCTTTAAAGGCACTTGCATACGACATGATACCCACATATGATACATCAAAATATCCAGAACAATCTCAGCTCTCTATATAATGAGGCCCTTTTGGCCTGGAACACTGTGTAAAGAGAGAATTTTTTAGAAATTCTTAATATCTTATATATCTTAATATCTCTTGTGACGACACAGCTTTTCTCTTGGGGACAGATTGTTTCGAAGCTTGAAATATGTTTACTGAATAAAGAATGAAGGGTTTCTGGTGTGATGGTCAGTCCTTAGTGATTTCCTGAGCGTCCATTGGTCAGTTTCACACAGAAGGTAGACAGACACCTGAATCCACCAGTTCCACACGGTGAGAGGCAGATAACATGTATCTCAGCCCCTCTTCGTAGGCTCATAACTCCGGATGTGAGTGACGTAGGATCTCGTGATAAAACGGAACTGAAAGGGAGACTTTACAGATTCAGGAAATGATCGAACTGTATGAACTGAATTATCACAAAGATTTTAATATAAACACAGAGAAATATAATTTGGTGAGCCGGTACATTCGTCAATCTCAGAGGGTTAACTGCAGAATTTTTTTTGATTACATAACACATTGAACAGTCTGAAAAACTAGAAATTAAAAATATCTCATCACATCCCCCCCCATCTCTCTCTCTCTCTCTCTCTCTCTCTCTCTCTCTCGCTCTCTCTCTCTCTTTCTCTCTCACTGCCCAGATTGTTCTCGGCATCCAGTGTGAGCTTCAGAAACTCCTGCAGAACTTTATCTCTCTGGACCGTCTCCCTATGACCCCGGCCAACAGCAGGCCGGGAGGCCGTCGGGGGCGGAGCCCACGGTTCTCCGCCCTCTCCTCCATCTTTGGCAAAGGCGTGAAGTTTGCTGTCCGCGCTGACGGCACAGTCAGCGCTGAGATCATCGGGGTGGCCAGCGAGGACAGCCGACGCATTGCTGCAGTGATGAACGGCGCCACCTACCTGCGAGGCTTGCGCTTCACAGTGGATGGCCGAGACACGCATTATTTCACCAAGGACAGCCCACTGGAGGCAGACCTTGGCGTGGTCTGGGGTGGAAGTGGAGCCACTGGTGGAGGGGCGAGGGTCTTGGAGAATGGTGTCAATGTTTCGGTCTCCCAGATGAGCGCCGTGGTTGCCGGAGAAACTAGGAGATTCGCAGATTTGGTCCTGCAGCAGGGAGCGCTGTGCTTTAACATCCGCTATGGGGCAACGCTGGATGAGGAACGAACACGAGTGCTGGAGGGGGCCCGGCTCAGGGCGGTGCAAGGGGCGTGGCTGTTGGAACAGAGGCGTGTTAGAGATGGAGAGGGTGGGGCAAGGGTGTGGGGCAATAAGGAAAGAGAGGAACTTCTGTCAGCAGGGCATGTTTCCGGTTACGAAGGGTTTTACGTTTTGCCGGTTGAACAGCATCCTGAGCTAGCGGACAGTCCGTTTAACATACAGCTGATTAGACAGACAGATGTTGGCCGAAGGTAACGGCGGCACCAACACACACACACACACACACACACACACACACACACACACACACACACACACACACACAGCACTATAGCAGGGATACCTCATTCAGATCCTGAGGTGCTTTAGTTCAACACAGTTTGGTCATTTTCCTGTTCTAGCACACCTGATTCAATTCAGCAGTTGGGCTGCAACAATTAGCATTGTTTACTTTAAAAATTACTCTATAATGTTCATATGATCCACAGAGTCATTCTGACAGACTGTAATACACTACAGGAAGTGTAGGGGGCGATATGGCTTCTACTGTTTCATTTAAAAAGCCTCTATAATGTTCATATGATCCACGCAGTCACTCTGACAGACTGTAATACACTACAGGAAGTGTAGGGGGCGATATGGCTTCTATTGTTTCATTTAAAAATGTTTAATATTGTTCAAATGATCCACACAGTCATTCTTACAGATTAATCTGTAGGGGGTGATTTTTCTATTATTTTATTTCAAGAAATTTGAGTGGTGGCAACAAAGGATGTATAACTAAAGGGGACATGACAGGGAAATAATCGTTAGTTGCAGCCCTAATCATGATTAGTCGATTCCCTGGCTAAGCAGGCATATTGGAGCAGAGAAAATACACCAAACTGTGCTGGACTTTGGCCTCTGGGACCAGAGTTGATGACCCCTGCGCTATAGTATCTCAGCTTTTTTCTATGACGTTGACAAGACAAATCAAGAAAGACTTGTTTGTCTTTGAAATGTGACGGACGATGGTATTGTATTATTTCATTTTTAAGGAAGTGCACTACTCGCAAGTTTACGTTTATTCTTTTTTTAATATAAGTTTCTGTGTTAACGTTTGTCATTGAAATACTGTTGTGGCTTAGACATTCTTACACACAGAGAGCCTCCTGTTCCCTATCAAAGGCCTCTCATTTTTATATGTGGAGAGAAGACGAGAAAATCCCCCCTTGTGAATAAACTGTACATTCAGCCAGACTTGAGTTTTGCTGTTCAAGATAAAATTCAAGGAATTTGGATGGGATAAAAGATTCAAGATAACTGGATGGCAATTCAACATTATTGGACAGAAAGGTCAAAACTCCAAACCCAAAGCTATGAAAACAAATCACCTTTCAGGATTTCTTTCTCAGACCTTTTTGGGATTAAACATTCCCAACGAAATCTTTTCACAGACTCTTTGGGATTTTTTACAGTATACACTTCTGAAATGGCCTTCCGGAATAATTGGTTCAAATGGCCTCCTGGAATAATAAGCTCAAAATGGGCTTTCTGAAATCATTGGTTAAAGCAACCCACCAGAATTCCCCCACTCACTTAGCCTTCCAGAATCATTGGTTCAGTTTGCCTTCCGGAATGATTCTTAAAAAACGGACTTCCGTAATCATTGGTTCAAATGGCCTTCCGGAATCATTGGTTCAAATGAACTTCTGTAATAATTGGCTCAATATGGACTTTTTAAAACCATTGGTTCAAACGGCCTACCAGAATTCCCTCACTCAGTTAGCCTTCCGGAATCACTGGTTCAATTTGCCTTCCGGAATAATTCTGAAAAAATGGACTTCCGGAATCATTGGTTCAAAAGGTCAATTAAATGACCTTCCAGAATTATTGGTTCAAATAGCCTTCCTGGATCACTTCTCCAAATGACCTTCTGGAATCATTGTTTCAAGATAGGACTTCCGGAATCACTGGTTCAAATGGACTTCTGAAATCGTTGGGACTTTTTAGACCTGTCCGCTCAAACGACCTTCCGGAATCATCTGTTTATACAGTCTTTCGGAATCCTGCTTTTATCCGCCTTCCGGAACCATCTGTTAAAACAGTTTTGTGGAATCATTGTTTTAAACGGCCTTCCGGAATCACTTTCTTCGGGAATCTCCTCTTTAAATGACTTTCCCGGAACCCTTTCTTTAAACCACCTTTCAGAATCATCCGTCTCAATGCCCTTCTGGAATTGAGATTCTGGAATGGGATTTTGGAATCATCCGTTTAAACGGCCTTCCGGAATCCTTTAGTTTCCACATCTGCTGCTGACTGTGTGGCCGTTGCTGCCTGCAAACTACTGATAGTGACTGTGATGCTAGGAGACACAGGGAGATGTACATAGTTCTTTAGCAAGTGCTCAACAACATGATGAACTGCTTAAGCTTGAGAATGACCGAAGTCAGGTATCTGCTGCACCTGGACTTAACGGGAAAGAGAACCCAATCAGAGAACCCGGACAACTGGAGACGGACTCACTTCGGTGCGGATCAGAGGAGCGTTCGTAGAGAGGACAGACGCAAGCTGTTCTATAGCTCAGTAAAGACGTGTTTTTGATAAAATCGTGTACAGTGTACTTTTTGATATGTAGAGATATGAGACGTTATCTATGTGGAACTCGTGCCTTTCCGCTCTAAAGGAAAACGATAGAAGTACGGAGTTGTAAATCACAAACAATGTATGTTTCAGTATTAGCTGTATGTTTTTAAAGCTTATTTTATGACTCAACTCAAGTACCGACAGTTAGCGACAGTCCAAAATACGGTGGAAAGAGCCTCCACGATACAAAGAAGTTTCACCTGAATGTGCATTTGTTTTTGGATCTGATTCTCATGGAACTGGAATGAATTCTGTTTGTTTTTAACGTTGGTTCTAGTCCTCAGTGTCTGCACACATGGCTGGATGGGATTTACCCGTGTGCATGTATTCTTTCCTATAATGAACAGAACGGATGTCACGATTGAACAGCTTTGCGTTTGAAAGTGTTTACATGTCTGTTTGTTTCAGCTGCCTCAGTTCATCTGGAACATTTTGTGTCCACCGTTGAGTCATGTTTTGAGAACTGCTTGGGGTCGACTGTGGGACGTGTTTGTTTCAGTGGATCAGTTCGATATGCATGTGGAGTGTATTGGGCATTCGAGTGGGCAGGGATTCAGGGGCAGATTACTAAAGCTTTGCGCCATCACTCTCCATACTTTGGGAATTGCTGAAGTGCCCCGGCTCTTTAGCAGCCATAGTAAAATCACTTCTGCATTTATTGAAGTTTCCTTTCAAAGCACTGAATACTGGGAGGATGTCCAAATAATGTCTAATTGTCTCAAAAAATTGATCTATAATGTCTTATTTTCTCAAAATAATGAATGACAATGTCAAAACCTCTTATTTTCTCAAAATAATGACTTATAATGTCAAAATAATGTCTGATTTTCTCAAAATAACTAATTGTAATGTCTGAATAATGACGTATATGTCAAAATGTCTTATGTTTTTAGAATTATGACAAAGTCTTATTTTCTAAAAGTAATGAATTATAATGTCAAAATGTCATTTTCTCAAAATGACTTATAATGTCAAAATAAATGTTTTATTATCTCAGAATAATGAATTGCAATTTCAAAATAATGTCTTATGTTCTCAGAATAACGACTTACTATGCCAAAATATGTCCTATTTTCTCAAAATAATGTTATTTTTTAAAATAGTGAATAAAAATGTCAAAATAATGTTTTATTTTCTCAAAATAATGACTTGTGTCAAATGAATGTCTTATTTTCTCAAATTAGTGACTCATTTCAAAATAATCAAATACTTCTCAATCTCAATAAGAAATAACATATTTTTGACATTTTGACATTATCTTGACTCACTAAGCCATTTTGATAAAATAAGTCAATAATTTGACCTAATTTTGACCAAAGTCAAAATCTCAAGACAAAAAAGTCTTATGAGAAACAAAAAGCAGAATCAGAGACGAATGAGCAGCTGTTTTTTTCTCCTACCTTGTTCCTGTTTTAATTTTTTAATTTTAAAAGTTCATTTGGGTGAAAATTCTGGAGAACCCACTAAACTGGCCACGCCCACATGCACCCAGTGTGTTATTAGCACCTCTATTAGTAAATCTGCCCCTAAATCTGTGAACAGAAGCCTGAAAATAATAGGAAACCTCATATATTTGAGATGTTTCAACCAGATGTATTTATTTACTAATTTATTTATCATATTTATCAGAGCCCATTAATAAACAGCATCAACACAACTGTAAAGTTGCCCCGAAAGACCAGAGACTCCCTAAAGTACACATTCATACTAATCATATCATAAAGCAGATTGAATATGATCTGCACTCTTAAAAAGAGGCTTTTTCAAGGGTTCTTTAATAATGCAAATTGTTCTATATAGAACCATGAACACTCAAAGAACCCTTTGCCTGATTAAAGGATGAAGTGGCTCTTCAGATTGATGGAGAATGTGTTGTATATGGTTCTATATAACACCAAAAAGGGTTCTGCTCTTGTTATGAAGTTAAGCTTATAACAATAGAAGAATAATTTTTAGTGCTATCTAGAGCCTTTTTCAAAAAGGTGCTGTATAGAACCATCTACAACACATTCTCATTCTGAAGAATGCTTTTATGATGCAAAGAACGCTTTAATCATGCAAATGGTTCTTTGAGTGTTTATGGTTCTATATAGAACCATTGTCTTCACTAAAGAACCCTCGAAGAACCACCTTTTTAGGTGTGTAAATTAGCCCATAGGCCACAATTTGGCTTGCTTTGCACAAAATAATGCACTAATATTTTGATTAATAAGATTAAATAAATCAATAAATTTTATTGGTCATTTCTAATGTATGAGATGTAATCATGTATTTTCTATTTAAATAATGAAGAAAAATGTAAATGCTGTTATAGATAAATGGGCCAAATTTGAGGAAGGAGACCCAAGTAGGTAATTGAGGGATATCATAATTCATTTTCTGAGGTACAAAAAAAAAGTGGTTCTTCAAAGGTTCTTTAGCAAAGAAATGGTTCTATATAGAACCAGGAACACTCATAATAAAATAACCCTTTGCAACATTTAAAGGGTTCTTTGCATGGTAAAATGGTTCATCAGATTCATGGAGAATGTGCTATATATGGTTCTATGTAGAAGCTTTTAGAAAAGGGTTCTATATAGCACCAAAAAGTGTTCTGCTTTTGTTACGATGTCGAGCTTAGAACAGTACAAGAACCCTTTTTGGTGCGATATTGGACAATATACACCACATTCTCCATCAATCTGAAGAACCATTTTTCATGCATGAAACATGCAAAGGGTATAGAGATTTTGAAAAAGGGTTCTGAATAGCACCAAAAAGGGTTCTTCAAGCTTATAACTACAGAAGAACCCTTTTCGTGCTATACAGAACTATACACAACACATGAAGAACCTTTTCACCAAGCAAAGAACGCTTTAGGTATGCAAATGGTTCTTTGAGTGTTCATGGTTCTATATAGAACCATTTTCTTTACTAAAGAACCCCTGAGAAACTGCCTATTTTAAGTCTGTATGTTTATTAGAAATGTTGTCCAAATGAAAGTGTGTAGCGTTCTTTGAGGAGCTGTAGTGCGCATTTTACTTCTTATAATGCCGTCAATGAAGAACCATTTGACCATGCAAAGAACTTTGAGTTCTTCAGGTGTTCATGGTTCTATGTAGAACCATTTTGTTTACTGAAGAGTGTGCATAAACAATGCCTGGATTTCT